TTCAGCTGTCTTATCAAATAAAGGCATAAAAGCTGAAAAAAATAGACAAAAAAAAAAAAGTTGAGTTTCTATGATGATGATGATGATGATGATGATGATGGGTGATGTCTTTGGTTGACATGAATGCATTGTTCTTCTCTCACCTCCTCTGTAACCCTCTTTGTCACTCTGTCTCATCAGGACATGGGCACTGTGATTTTGGGCAAACTGGAGTCAGGCTCCATCAGTAAAGCACAGCAGCTGGTCATGATGCCAAACAGGGTAAGATATTCCACCAGGTTTTTCTCCTATTAGCTGGAACTGAGAAAGACAAGAATGAGAGCGAAAACTTCCCTGAATCTTAACTGCATAACTTGTTATTGGTTGAATAGTATAAACGCAGAATGTCCATAAAATTGTCAAAAATGTTTTAAAACATACTTACTACTTATAATATGTAAGTTTTATCATGCATCATTTGTCAACACTGCCGAAATATGTCATGTTGTTCATGGCTGGAGTAATGAAGTACAGGTATAATGGGCTACTTGCCAGGAGTCGTGAAAAAATAAATCAACAATGTAAATATAATTATTGACAACTATAGTCAACTAGATACCTTCCATTAAGTCCTACACATCACATTTAACTTCAAACAAATTATCCTTTTCTTAATGAGAAATGCATGGTCAGTGTGGCCGTGTTGTCACTGATATCTGCTCTACAATGCCAGTAACTGATGCATTCCTTCTGCCTGACTGTTCTCAAATGTAACTACTGCTCTGTCTTTAGTGGTTATGGTCTATTTTACACCATCAACTGCACACATCTTCTGGTCTCATTCCACCTTTTGTCTGTGCCCTCTCTCCTCACGCAGCATGTGGTGGAGGTGTTGAGTCTCCTGTCAGATGATGTAGAGACAGACGATGCTGGACCAGGTGAAAACCTCAAGCTGCGGCTGAAGGGCATTGAGGAGGAGGAGATCCTGCCTGGCTTTATCCTGTGTAACGCTGAGAACCTCTGCCACTCAGGGCGCACCTTCGACGCCCAGGTCAGTATCACCACAGCAGCTCAGTGCTGCAGTAGATCATTCAAGTTCATTTGTATGTGAACAGCACGTATTGTGATAAATGGTGATCAGATGTTTAAGTGCACTTTAGGGGTTCCATGAAAACATTTTCGTTCAGTGTAATTTATAGTATAGTGTAGTGTAGTGGTCACCCAACAATGCAAAGACCAGGGTTCACTTTCCAGCAACAGTGACAGTGTTAATGGGTGGGAAACCACTGAACAAGGCACAAAATGGGCACCAGCCACCGGCCTAATGCTGAAAAATAAGTGGCTGGTAAATGTACTTCACTCACCAACCACAAAAACAATGGTAATCTATCTGTGGCTGGTAAAATTTCTCCTCCCATTCACTATCCATATTTTGATCCTGCCAGCGATGGACCACATAGTGGTTGTAGGACTAGGAAGTCAATCCGTTCCTAAAAGTATATATCGCATAGTTATATAATGAAATCAACATTTGATATTTCTTCATGCTACACAAATAGAAAACCAATTTTGAAATTGCTTGATATTCAGCATAATCTGGTCATAATTACTTATGTAAATCAAAAATCTTTTAATATTTGAAATGAAACAGTCTGGTCATATTTGTTGTCTCCTGGCATGTTCACTCTTCATAGATAAGTCCTCAGTTGTATTGGCACAAGTTCAAGAACAAGGCAGATAAAACGGGTCAGGTTTCCCAAAAATGTTGCTGAAATGCCACCCTGGTGCTTGGATTTTACTCTTAAAAAGCTGTACGCACCCTGTGTTACCTGGTTACCTTTGAGCAAACTGCCCCTGTGGTGTTGCTCAGATGCCAGCAGAGTAGAAATGAGGTGCTGCATTGGGAGCCTTCATTAGTGACAGAATGTGTTGTTTTTGGATGTTCCCTCATAATCACTGCAATTCCTCTTTTCCTCACAGATTGTCATCATCGAACACAAATCCATCATCTGTCCAGGTTACAACGCAGTCCTTCACATTCACACCTGCATTGAAGAAGTGCAAAT